AAGTCTAAAATGCCAATCAAACAGATCATTCACGTTAAGCAAGTTAAAAAGGAGATAGTGCTTACCATGCAAAGAATTTAATTTTGAGAAAATTAAGGAGTGCAGAGATAAAGTCAATGTCAAAATTTCACACCTGGTAAAAACCTGAAGAAATATATTGAGCCCCGTAACTAACTACACATATACCAAAATTCATTCGATTTTGAACAAAACCGACTGTGTAAGGTCATTGAAACATTTTGCAGATTCATATGCCATGAACAAATCTGGGTGTCATTACTGGTATTAAAAAAGAATGTGTAGTTTGTGTCCTTTGGTCAAATGGTTTCTGAGGAGATATCTTTACAAGTGACAATGGACAAGCAAGACACAGCATAAGCTCATTTGACACAGTCAGGTGAGCTAAACATGTTGGAGACTTGACAGAATGGATGTCCATCAACATGATATGAGAAATGGAAATAATCTGGACATTCACCAGTACCAGTCTCTGCTACCTGTGTTAAACTTCAGAGAACCTCCAGCTTATTTTTCAGCTTTCCCTTCCCATATTTTCTTGAGGTCAACATGTTATTCTCCTTTGCATTATGGTATTACTTCCTGTTAGTTGTAGCCTTGGATACTTTTATTCTATATTGTGTATATATACTGGCCACATAAAGAAACTGTGCACACAGAAAATGTAGATATAGGCACACAGCGTCTTTATACATAAATACAGGTGTGAACATAGCAAGTATTGGAGACAATCAAACGCTCATGCACGTGTCAGGCGACGTGACGTCATTGATAGTGGCCTATGGACTTGCAATGTGTTACTGCACGTGCAGCCCATGCAGCTGCACACAACATGTGAAACTCAGAAATTGCTGTCACTGTCGAAAGCTTGATCTTTGGTCATTCAAACGTTCACAAATTCACATGAGAAGTCACATGCACATCATGCCAAGATTAACATCTGCTCAACGTCATGAAGCCAATGGAATGGTTCGCGCAGGAATGAGCCAACAACAGGTGACAGCACATTTCCAATGCCATCATAACACGATATCTGCATTGGTCAGGCGTTATGGAAACACTAATGATGTCGCCCACCACCCACAGTATGGGTGTCCCCGCCGTAACGACGCCAAGACAGGACAGATGGATTTGGGTGACTCATCTCAGACACAGGTTCAAGACGGCAGTGACCATGTCCAAGACCATTCCCCAGGCTTTCAATGCTCATTCAGTAGCCTCTATGCGTCGTCGATGCACTGCTGTGCTTCACGCACATGGTGGTCATACCCGTTATTGACTTTGTGACTTCATCGTGTGACGCCGTTCTCGATTTTGAACTTCTGACGTCATCGTTACAGATATTGTTCTTGCTCTTTCCCATTTTCTTGTGGTCCGATACTTCAGCTTATAAAGTGTATACATCATTTCGTCTTTTCTGTGTTGTATTCCAATTCTGAAGGAATTTTCTGTGTGCAGTTTCTTTATGTGGCTAGTATAGATTGTATGAGATTGTGGGATGGTTAGATTCAGGATACCAGGTGTGAGAGGAATGGTGTGTTCATGAAGGCTGTCCCGTGATATTGCTGGAATATTGCTAAAAGCGGCATAAAACCAAACTCACTCACTCACTCATGAAGGCTGTGTCCATGTGTCAAGGTATCTTGTTGTCAGTTGGTACTGTTGAATTGTAATATATGGAAATGGAACAAGTGTTGACACTTGTAACCTGAGTTTGTGGAATACATTCTAAAGCATGTTCAGCCAATGTCAAGAATTCTTTGGATTACAATAACCGATTAGGAAGTCACAGTCCTTTACTGAGAGCAAAAACATTCATTAAACAACAAATTAAGAGAAAAAGATGATTTTGTACATATAAAAACATAAATATTCTATATAGGGTCAACTCTTTTTTATCTTCCATGGTATTCTGTCTAAAAGTGCTTTGACAACACTTCCTGGCACCTGCTGATGATGGTTGATAAGTGCCTCTACTGCTTTCTGGACCTGCAACACATACAGTAGTGGGTTATCATCTTACAACAGTTGAATTCACTAACATATTACCTTGTAAATATTCACCAGTTAGGATGACTATAAATGTTACCAGTGTTTACATATCTAACTAGCATATAAATACAAATCCCACTTGGTGGATGAACACAGCCTGTTTCTTCATTCTCACTACCACTATCTCTTTGGACTTGTTTCAGAAGACCCTTATGGTTACTTGGCTGTCATCTTTGTATGACATTCTTGCAGCAGTAAAATCCCTCTCTTGATATCTCAACTGTTTGGATTGTTGTTCTCATGACAATATCCACTGACCTCTGTGCTGGAGAGGCACATCTGTACTTTTCACACATGTGAGCAATCAATCTATACTGAAAGCCATTAAAAACGCAATTGGTATTTGTTGTCCTGGATCTTACAAAAGTTCTATTGAAGATTTTTTCCTGCGATACAGAGGATGTAGGGATAAAAGGCTGTTATTCTGGCCCATTTCGAGTTCGAGTCCCGGAGCATTCCTCTCACATGAACTTTGATACTTAAAACTTAACCTTTGACATTTCTCGTAAACACAACCACATTCATGAAACACTTTGAGAAAATGCCACACTTGACACAAGACGAAAGGAATCAGGTTATCGGTATGGTCAGCCAAGGTGCTTCAGATGTGATGATTGCCAGGCACTTTAATGTGCATCCATCCACTGTAAGTCGACTCAGACAACGTTTTCGGGCTACCGGAAGTGTTGCTAATCGTCCACGACCTGGTGCACCACCTGTGATAACAGCTCGACAAAACCGCAATATCCGAGTTTCACACTTGCGAAATCGGTTCCAAACAGCTGATGATTAGGCAAGGAGGACAATTGGCACAAGTCAACGTCATTTCAGAGCCCAAAAGGTGCAAGGATGCCTTGCTGCCTTCAACATCCGTGTCGTCACCCGTGCCGTGGTCCAACCTTATTGCATCGCCACAGACTTGCCAGACAGCGATGGGCAGCAAATGGGGCCAATCTTGGCAACAGGACATGGCCAGATGTCATTTTGTCAGATGAATCCAGGTTTAACTTATCCTTTGGAGATGGACATCAACAGATTTATCGGCGTAAAGGAGAAAGACTTGCGCCAAACTGTGTCCTTGAACATGATCGTTTTGGAGGGGGTGGTGTCATGATCAGACCACAGACCATCAGAGGCTGCAGACCATCCAACAGCTGTTCCTGAGAAATGTGTGTCTTTCAATGCCCCAAAGACTGCGAGCATGTCTTGCAGCGCACGGTGGACACACACGATATTGACTGCAAGTGACCCCTCCTTTGTGTGATGTCGTTGTTGCGTCACTGATGTTGTTGTTGACTGGACATTTTCAGATGAAATTATTCACAGATGTTCACTTAAAACATATCTGCCAGTTAGGTTTATATATGTTGAAATTAGTGTGAGTAAAGAAAGTATGAATGTCAAATTGCATTTTTAATGGCTTTCAGTATATGAGGCAAGAAAATGCGGCTTCAATGATGAGGGCGAGTCAGTCTCTGAATGTAACCGCTACACCGTTCAACAGGAAGTTACCAAGCTGAACTGATGCTCTGACAGAAAGCTAACTATTGCCTGGTCATATTGTGGATTACAATAGTTGAAACCTCTACTTCAATTGATAGTATATGAATATACGTTTCCACTATGGACTCTACTCAGCAGGCAGGCATTTCTTTGAATATAGTGATGTCCACTAGTAGTAGGGAAGGGGATTCTAGACCATGGAGGTGACAACCATGCCTCTAGGAGCCTCCAAAACCGCTCAATTCAGCTCCCAGCGCCCACTATGTGTTTTAATATTAATAATGTCAAACTGACCCAAAATTACGAGTTGATCATACTTACTGTATGATGTGGTGGTGGTGGAATTGGGTTTAACGTCGTGCTTGAGAATATTTCGCTCATATGACGACGTGCATGCGTGTGTATGTGTGGCTGCTAGTACTAGCTCAGACTTTAAGCTGGTTTTAGAGTGCTGGCCCACTGAGATACCATGCCGCAGTGAAGCATGAATACCCCACCCAGACACATTATACTGACTCCGAGCCGACCAGTCCTTGCTGTACCCATGAATGCCGAACGCCATGCAGGGACCAACAAGTACCATATTTTAACGTCTATTTGGTATGACGTGGTCGGGGATCGAACCCGCAACCTTCCGCTCTCTGGGCAGACGCTCTAACCACTACACCACGGAGGCGGTACTTACTGTATGAATAGACAGCAGTATTGTATTGTATGTTCAACCTTAATAGATTTACAACATGTACAAACGTATCATTCGAATGGTAGAACATACATAGTTAATGTAGAATTGCTTTCTATTTCTGAGGTATTATATGAAAGCTCAGTGAGGTGTTAAAAAAGAAATATATTCTGTATACAAATGTATATTCTCATTTCATGTTTGGCCCAAAAAATTGATATGGAAATTGAACATAGTTTAATTTAATCATTTTATTAATTTTATTTATCTCTCAACAAACTAAATTTGTATAATATTTTCTGTCTTGTATATTCACCGAAATAGTATGTAAGTAGGGTTGAAACAGTACGCTCTTACCACGGTACGGTACGTATTGCGGTACAAGGCCTTCGGTTCGGTCCGTTTCGGTTCGGTATATGAGATATGATCATAATGCAGAAAATTGACAAGAGCCAAACCTTTCATTGTTTAATAACATAGAAAAAACATCCATAATCTTTGTTAATTTGAATGAACAAAACTGTCATTTCATGACAACATAGAAGAATGAAAGTATCACTGGAAACTTGGAGCTCACAGCTGTGTGGCAAAATAGCAAGTAGCCAAGTATGATTAAAAGTCATTAACATCACATCAGCATTTACTGCAGTGAAAAACCAAAAACAACACACAAATCAGATCTTGTCGAATGTGACTTTGTTGATGACATATCATAGATAAATATATTAAACAAATTAACACATCACCATGGTCATAAGACAGTTACAGTTTGTGTGACTGACCATTGTCCTTGCGTACATATTTAACATAATAATTAACATAGGTTCATCACTTTGGGTTACGTGGGAGACGTAGGAGACAGTTTGACAAGTCACCGTTGACTTCCCGTGGTACCTGCCACTTTGGTTGTAAAAACAAAATGTTGGCAATTAATTGTCAAATATGACTTCAATGAGTCAATAACGTGGATCTTGGGGTCAATGGGTGTCTGTTCATGATTGCTGAGAATAATGTGAAATTGGTGCTATCGCGGTGGGCTCGAAAAACGGACCCTTATGAACAAGGTTGTTTAAACGCTCATATAATAGTTGGAAAACTACTTGTTACAAAGGTAAGCGGAAGTGGTACGAGAAAGAGGTGATGTCATTTCACACAAGATCTCTCTGATGTTACTGTAAACAATTTTAATGAATGAAAATGGGATTAAATTTAATCAAATAAAATGAAATCGAGGAAGATCGTTTTATTTTGAGTTTCCTGACATTCCTGACGTTTTCGGATGGCAGTGTTTACTCGCGCTATATAATGCGTTGTGTTGCATCACAGCAAACATCATAAGTACTCGGCTGATGGCGTGTCTTTATGAAAAAGTCGTCTTTCATAAGTTATTACGATGTTCCGCTGTTCGTCTGATTTGAAATAACTGAAAGAGAAACAGAACCCAAATTTGGTATCTGCAGTTGCTGTCTTTGTAAGTAGATGCCTTCAGGCGATCTCGAACTTACTTCCAGGAAAATAGCGGCCGTCAAGCAAAGAAATGCAAAGACTTTGACCAAATGATTCGATTTCAAGACATTTTAGAAAAGGTTTAAAATGATCAATAAAACAACGGTACGAAAACCGAATTTTTGGATTGCATTACGGTACGGTACACCGAACCGAAGTCAAACTACCGCGGTTCTACTAATACCGCAGTATACCGTTTCACCCCTATATGTAAGTGAACATAAAATTTCCCCAATACACCACATCACAGTCCAATTGCTGATAAATACAAAACTGAAATTACACCAGTTTGATCCACTTACCTTTGATGCAAAGGAATCCGGCGTGTCATCTGATGCTGGGTAGAGAGGCTTCCCCAAGTACGTTCTGCCAACAACAGATATACACACTAGTTGAGTCATACACATGACTCTACACAACACTTCACCGGAATATTTCTGGAATATATATTTGCAATATTACAGTCATAATATAGTCATAATTAACAAAAATCAGAAAATAAAATTAATGATGAAAGATTTGGCACAACATAACATCATAAATGGGGAAGGCTACCGGTAAAGGGGCCACATGGTCGATCACAGATTCAGAGATACTGACAGAAACGTGAACCGATGAATAAAACTCTGAAATTTCACGGTCTTTGTTTTTGTGTTTTAATGGTTTAAAAACCCTTATTTGTTACGTGTTGACTGTTGGAATTACAGATTGTTTACAATAAAAGCCTCAAAACTTAAAATATTAAGAAAAATTGTCTTAATTATATTTTTTATTCTTAGATCCATGGTCCTGATGTAAAATTATTGCTTTGATCCTCTTCAGTAAAACAACAATTATGAACTGAAGAAATATTGAAAACAAAATGTAAGTGAAATTTAGTATTAATTTTTTCCTTTCAGGTTTCATTTCACTTGGACAGACTATACAAACCCGGTGATGAATTACTTAGACTTACATATGAAACTTGACAGACTTAATGGATGAGTAGGTTTTGAGCATATATCTCAGATCAATGTAAAGTTTCGCTCATTCACCATACCACGCATACATGTTATTCCAAAACACATGACCCTACACAACACTTCACGGAATATTTCTGGAATATATATTTGCAATATTACAGTCATAATATAGTCATAATTAACAAGAATCAGAAAATAAAATTAATGATGAAAGATTTGGCACAACATAACATCATAAATAGTTTGACGTAACAATGGGCAACATTGTTAAACAAAAATCAAAACATGCCTTAGATCCATGCTGGTAAAACTTTGGCAATTCCAGGAAGATTTCAAGACATCATATTTCACTTGAAGGTGATGTTAATATACAAACTTGACAGACTTAATGGATGAGTAGGTTTGTGATAATGTAAACAAGAAATGTAAATCTATGCCAAATAAGAAGTGGCCATACCTGTTCACCTGAAAGTTCCAACCATTTCCTAACAGAATAATGTTTCATAAACAATTGTGACTTTACCAAATCATGTGCCTAGGAAGTGATTGGGGGTAGCCTAATGGTTAGATGACCAGCTGTGTGAAGCCCATCTGGTGTCCCCGCCCATGATGTTGCTGGAATATTGCTAAAAGCAAACTCAGTCATCAGTCAGTCCAGTTCATAATATTTGATTTAACAAGAAGACAAAGTCATCAATATCCCCCGCAATGGCAAAATACTCTTTATGAATATGTCTTCGAGTTATGTCAAATGTTTTGGTGTGTATATAGAAAAGTGGAAGGAGAGTATTGAAAGGTTTTAAAAGTTTTGCTCCAGAAAGGAGCACTACCACCAGTTTCAGTCTAAGTGAAACTTGTTGCCATGGAAACGCCAAAAAATATTTAATTCAGAATACCAAAACCACCAAAAGGCACCAGTACACCACTAGATCTATCCATGTGCCAAGTTAAGTGAAGAAATATTGAATGGTTTTAAAGTTCTGCTCCGGAAAAGACAAATGTGCATGGACGCACGCACACACACGGACTGACGGAGTCCATTTTAATACCCCCAAAAACGTGTTTCGGGGGATACACATGTGTGGAAGCCACCTACAGAAATACATGTCCTACTGTTGTTTGTTTGTTTGTGGTATGCTAAAATAACTGCATCATATACTGGTAACTATTGTGAGTGTAAGCCATTCACGTTTTGGTTGCTACTCTACAGTCATCAAATATTTCTAATTTCTAATTCAAATGGCAAGGACTATAGCATCAAAATGTTATGACATTATCTGGAGAGAGAAGAGCTTAAAGAGAGGACAAACAATTAAATGTATTGGTGATGAGACGAGGAGACGGTGAGCTATGTCATGTACTGTGATTACCCCAACCATAGACAGGGGAACATTACAACACAAACAGAGAATCTTCAACTTACTTCAATTTTACTGGGAAAAATCCATAAATAGGAACAAGTGGCAGTCTTGTAATTTCATAAAATTTTCTCAACAGAGCTGAAATAGACAAATATATAGCATTATGAAGGGCTGTAGGCCCTCACAGAGGACCTGTTAATGAACATAAAGTTTACCATGAAATTGAAAAGTATTTGAATCTTGTTAATCAGTCAGAAATGGCAGATACAGAAAGTGCCTTTGGTTAAAATAGCTACCTGATTGGTGTCTAAATGCCAAAGCAAATATATTTAGGATAGTAATCATTCTTGATCATTGTTGAAAGAGTTTTTTAAACTAGAAAAGTGTTTGAAGCAGTGAATGCTCAAATTCTTGAGAGGCATTTAGAAGTTGATGAATATATAAGATGAGTATATGGATGGCAACTTCTGAATCACCTGAAGAAGGGGCAAGAAGTAGCCCAGAAACGTTGTGATATGCAATAAACAGAACTTGCCATCCATATACTCGTCTTATATGAATGCTCAAAGTTTCCTACATGAGGTTTTAGTTGACCTCACACCTCACCAATACACTACTATTTTGAAACAGCATACGAACAAAGTTGTGACCATTTCTAACTAAACTGGTTTCCACATTGGATATAACAAAATGTATAAACACATTTCTAATTTTGTACTGCTGAGTATATGTAAGTGAGAACATATTCCGGAATGTTGTGTTCCTCATAACACAGAAGTTCACAACCCAAAGTCTTCTCATTAAGCGAAGGACTTTTAGATGCCATTCAAAGATTTTCGACAGATTAGTGCCAAATCATAGATCAGGGTCATGTTTGTAGACCTTGGTAACATGCAATTTCTCACTGAGCTTGCCGCCACAACCAATAGGAGGTCACTCCATATACCTGTATACAATGAGTGAGTGAGTTTAGGTTTAAGCCACAATCAGCAATATTCCAGCTATATGGCGGCAGTCTGTAAATAATCCATTGATCAACATCATGAGCATCGACCTGCGCAATAGGGAACCGATGACCTGTGTCAACCAAGTCAGTGAGCCTGACCACCCGATCCCGTAAGTCGCCTCTTACAACAAGCATGGGTTACTGAAGGTTCATTCTAAACCACACCTTCACAGGTCACCAGTATACAAGCTGCTCTGGGGCACTTTCAAAGCTCAAGATTTTATGAGCACCTAATATCTGCTTCCACCAATATGCATCAGAAAAATTATTTCCATTTGCAAATTTGTCCCTTGTTGTGATCAGTTGGGCGGCTCCACATACTGTCACCAAAGCCCTACAGCAAGCAAGTGCTGCGTTCACTTTGTTGTGTTAAGTCAGAATCGTGATGCACCTCACAGTCACAGATGTAGGAGCGTATCTATATAATTATGCAAAACAATTAGTGAAGTGCACCGAAAAAATGCATTAGGATGATCTTTTCTTTTTTCAGAATATGTCTGTTTGTGTGCAGTCACTTCATAAGCCTTCACCTGCAGTGTAGCAGAAACTTATATGGAATAATGAGGTGAGCACTGTTAGCTTGGCGTCACTGGCACTTGGCTGCAAACTATGCTTCAGTTGACACATGACATACAGGCCCTTTAAATGCTTTGTTACATGAACTGAAACATTTCAATTATCAATTATCTCTACTGAAACAATGATTAATATAACAGTAATGGCACACAAGTGGTCTAAATATCAATGTTAACAAGCCTTAATCCTCACTTAACCCAACAAAACAAAAACTACCTTGTAAATATGCAAGGATAGCTAATTGTCATCCACTTTTGATTTACGTTAAGGTTCAGGTAAAAATCTCATGTAAATGTTTATTCCAGATATGTTAATAGTTGGTTTACGTCCCCAGATCAGTGTAAATCATGAATACATGATAAGTTAGTACATGTACTGTTCCACAAGATATGTCTACAAGAAGTCAGTGCTTAACCAGGGCCTAGATTTTGGAAGCTCTCTTAGCACTAAGATACTAAGTAGTCATCGTTAGCTTATGTTAATGTATGGCACTTACAACTATCTTAGCGCTAAGAGAGCTTTGAAAATCTAGGCCCATGTAAATTTGTGACTTTCTTCTGTGTTTCTTCCCCGAGACTTTGTATCCAAGCTTGTCCGCAATCATTTATATGTATTAACACTGCATCTCATAAGAGTTTATAACAACTGAATAATAGTACTCCATTAACACAGTACTCCATTAACATGGCATGTATCTGATGCAGTAACAACCACCAGAGACAGGACAAATCAGATTAAACATACTTACATCTTCCCCAGCCAGGAGTTCGGAAGGCTTCCCGACAATTCATTGTGAACATTGGAATGACAGGCTGGCAAGAAATAAATGCAATTATTTAGCATTGTAAGTTCCCAGTTCAGTGAAATTCACATTACAAATAGTGTGATATACTCCTTAAGGGACCGTTCATAATTCATGGCTAGGGGGGATGATGATGATTTTTGTGGAGAAGCATGTACAATGTGAATGACCCCCACTAAAATTTATGTACAAAATAAGTGAAACAAACACACACAGTGATATACGAAAAAAGAAAATTAAACAACACATTTTTTGTTATTTTCCTTCAGGAGTGTTCCAAATACAAACAAGCTTAACAAACACCTTTCAACACTTGAAATTGACAATGATTTTCAAAGATCTTGCATGTGTATGTGGGGTAGGTGTGCAAAATACATTCCTTCACCAGAATCTCATGCAAATTAAGCAATTAACAATCATGTGCAATGTAAAACCATGTGATTTAAACTGACAGTGCTGTACAAGCCATTACAGCAAATGAATTGCGACAAGGAGGTGCTCTTGGCTTCTCAGCGAGGTGCTATGACTGTTCCAGGCCGGTGTGGATTTTGAAGCAAACTGGTCATCTGGTAAGTATCGTGCACTACATGGCATTTGTCTATATCTGTATTTGTACTCAACTGAAGCTGTCAGAAAAGCTATACTCATTACCACCTCCCTAGCAGTTCTTTTTTCGAAAATATTAGGATATGGGTAGTCATATTAAGTAAAAGTTAAATTCACAGATAATGAAGTAATCTAATTGAATTGCTTGTAAAGTATTGATGTGTCTTTTATTTAGATGTCTACCTCGTAACACTGTCCTATTCTTCTGATTAACACTAAGGGACCCTTCATAATTTATGGGTATGGATGCGTGTGTGTGTGTGTCTGTGTGTGTGTATTTTATGGGGATGCATGTACACAGCTTTTTGAGAAAGGGGGTGCACACTATTGAGATGGAGGGTGCACACTTCATTTTCACCCGAATTTCAATGGTCATTTAATAAACTTTCAGGACAAAGTAACCTCTGGATCATATCTATGCATGTACAATGTGAATGAAAATCTATATGGGAATGATTTCCTCCCGTAACCTATCATTCTATGCCTAAGAATATAGGCCTATGGTTTTTATAATAAGAAACCTAACCCTAAACCTAATCCTAAACTCTACCCCCTCGAAATAATCCTAATAAACAGAATACATTTCAAGCGTGGGTTATGGGTGGAACTCTTACCACTTTATATACAAAGTGACATGCATGTCATGTACAAAGTTGCTGACCCCACCCCATAGTACATGTGTACAACATTGATGACTCCCCAGAACAACCCCCTCCCCTTAACATCTTCATCACCCCCACCCCTGTTGCAGGGAATTTATCTGATTGATGTACAATTGTCTTTCAGTTGCAGGTGTGCAAAAGAGTAAATGAGGAACAAATGAAGATGGTCAGCAGCATTCTCACCAGTAAGAAGCCAAAAACCAAGGAAGTACCATGCAAAGCGGAACACAAAGCTTCAACTCCAGGAGTTATGTTTTCTTTCTCCCAGTGGAGAGATAATTTAAGGGGAAAATGTAAAACATTCTCATTATTAACTCTTCTAATAAAATTAAACGCTATTGGTCAGGGGAAAATGCACTGCTCATCACCTCAAAGGCCACAGTGGCCCACCAACCAACCTCTCAATCCATTGGTCATGAGTTTGTACTAACCCCAAGTCTATTGGTATTTGAGATATTTATGCAAAATGTGCCTGATACTGATTCATGTAATTTGTTGGTAAACGGCATTTTCACGTCATAAGAATGTATCATAAAATTAATCATTGGCGTAACTCAAATTATTCATTACAAAACTACCTATGAGCATCCTGTCTAAATAACTTTTTCATGTTTTAGATGATTCAAGTGACCCTGAGGAGAATGGAAAAGGGGGAAGGAGGTCCCACCCGTTTCGATTTATTAACTGCAGTGTGCAGATATTGTAAAAAATAAATCTTTTTGAATGCTTCTGTATTTGTTTATTTATTGAAGATGTTTCCAACAAAAACATTGAGGTAGAGGCATAGAGTTGTCAAACCCAGTCTGCCAAGGGAACAAGTTCTTCTGCAATACCGAGAATAAGGTGAGGCGAATCTGAGCTTTGGTCCCAGTATCAGACCGAGAGTTGGTCAGATAACCGCCCTAGGGGTTTATATGGTAACCAACCTCTAGAGAAGATAAGATCTGATAACTAACCCCTTGAGTGGTCGTTCACAAAAACTGATAACCCCAGATATTGATCCGATAATCAACCGACATGGTATATTTTATCAACCCAAGTATGCATTTCACTTCTGGTTGGGACAAACGGTGTGCCTGATGCATCACAATTATTAAACTATGAACTATACCCATGACAGTAACCAGCCTTGACCTTCAGTTTCAGACTGCCTGAAAATATTTAGTAACTGCAGTCTTTTAATAGATTTGACAAACGACAGGTGAAAATTTAAGTTTTTGATTTCTCATGAATTGAAACAATGTCCTGGTTTGAATTTTAAGTGTCACCTTACAAAGAGATGACTCAAAAACTAATGAGATTGAGAACCCACTCCAGGGATCATAGTACACATCAAGTTTCATGAAATCCCAATCATCACCCTATGTGTACATTGTAATCCTGAGGCAGTAAGAGGCACATACATACATCATCATATACTTGGGTACAGTCCAAGAAGTCATCAAATTCCACCTCTTCCATGACATGTTCAGTAAATCTCAAAACAATGCCCAGGATTTCCTATCAATCATCCATCCAGTTGTAGAACTGTTGCAACTATTTTGTGCTCATGTGCGCCTACATAGGGGTTAAAGGGACACTGATCCAGAGCAATTTCCGTGGACTGGTTGATAGCCAATAATAACGATCTGCCAGTGGTAAAAAATGTTTTGACTGAAAAATAACGAAGTCTATGTATGTCTTTATATTTGTCTTATAATCCTAATTAGTTTATTATCACATCTGTATGCATTTTGAAACTTAATAAAAAGCACGCGATCTGCTTATACTTATAGTGAATTTATAACATTACTGTAGGATCTAGACATTTTATGGTTGCCAACGTCTTAGCAGCGACTTGGTATATGTTGTCTGTCTCATTACACTTCACGGAGAAAAAATATATTCTGTTGAATGCTACAACAAATAAATAAAAACAAAATGCAAATATTAAAATTAAACAGGCTAAAGTTATAGCAACAATGTCAGGCTATTACCTTGTTCGAGGAATGTGTCCATCAATATCCACTTAAAGGAACGATATGCCATTCATCTGCAGTTGTCAAAGAATCCTGTTCCATGTCATGTGTTTTTAACATTTTAATATGCGAAAAAGTGATATATCGTTTCAGGTTTATCACATTGGTGTATAGTCTGATTGGTCACCCAAGATAGCCCACCTGGAACTAATTACATGATGTCCGCCATTCTTTAAAAGTAATTTATTTAGTCAATAGTGAGCAATCAATCAACGTATTGGTGGTTAATCCTTTGAAGGAAGGACATTGTTTTTACACGGGCACTATATTCAGTATAGATTAGTAAATCTACTTACATAAACACTACCTTTTGACAAATCCACTATACCAGACAAAAAGTAATTAATCAATCAGCGTGTTATCGGTTAATCCTTTGATCAATGTTTGTTTTTTATAACTCAGCTGATAATTCAGCACTTCCATGCACATATTACATAGCATGCAATACACTTGCCATGCCAGACCTTAATGTATAATGTGGAGTATTTACTCCAGACACCAGAAATGACAAATGGGAACCTTTGTCGGGTAATCTGAGTGGTGTTACCGCTAATTGTACCTGTTATAAATTCATTAACTGACCACCGAGTGAATGATGACAAATAACATGTGTAGGTTTATACCACCAAACACGGGTTACAGCAGAGTAGTAATCGCTGTATTGCATGCAATTTTAATTGCCCCGAAAAAACTTATGGTCCGACGCTGTTTTGAGGATACAAACGACACTTCATTGTTGCATAAGAAATACATATACGCATTTGCTGTGTACTTAAGATAAAAACTGTATATATATCTATGTACCTAAATAAATTTTCTGATTTTTCTGTCAATGGCAAAGTGGGGTTGTTTAGTTTACGGATTAAAATAAATCAAATGTGTGTTTTTAATATCATAGGTAATAGACATCATATTTTTACATGACATGATTACGTATCAAGGTAAAAACACAGAAATAGGATGAAACTGGATCAGTCACTATACCATCCAGGCATTAGACTACACTGCCTACCCTGCTGGGATACTTTATTACAATTAGACAAGAACTACCAGGGATATTTTTAAATACATTTTGTAATGTCATCTGATGGGCATCCACCCTTCTTAGTCCCACTGTTTAGGTTGAAGAATTCTGCCTAGGTGGACAGTAGCCCAGTCCCCGTGTCCATCACGGTTGAGGGAGCAGGTACTGGCCAGCTTGCAGTTAGGTTTCGTAATTAGACCGTTGGCGAAAAACATTAATCGCTCTGGATCAGTGCCCCTTTAACAGCAGAGTTAATAACCTCTGGTCATGGCAACCTGTCCAGCGACAACCTTTGATGTTGGTTAATGCTATTGCAGGTAGGTCTGGTGAAGACTGTTCTATTTCCAGAAACATCCTTTCATGATTTCTTGAACAGAAAAGTTGCTGTCAAGTGCCATCATGTACACTACTGCTCTAATCTGATGGGGATTGACGGTTCTGAGTGGATGACCACCAGCAGTCTCATATGCCTGGAGTATGGCCACACAGAATCATAAAGATACAGTGTTACTTAAGTCAACAATGAATGGTTACTCAAAGCAACCCCTAGAGATCATATGTCATGAGCATGAAGCTCAGTAACTCGGGCCACTGTGGCCAAGAGGAAGATCTTCTTGGTGAGGTTGTAGAAAGATCAAGTGTTGAGTGGTTCTAGAGGGGCCCCTCATGAAAAACATACATGTAGTTCCACATTTAGATCCCATGCAGGTGTTTATACTTCGCTTTATGGTCTTCAAGCCCAGGCCCTCATGTCATTGCAAGGATTAAAGATTTTTAAAATATATATACTTCTTCAAGAAGATGACATCATCACAGGCTATGAAAATAACATGGATCTCTGTCCAGAGAAGCCAGATCCTTGAACTTTCAGGTCTTTGGCATACTTTGCAGCTGGAAGCACAGGCCCTCGTGTCTTTGCAAGGATTACAGATATTAAAAAATTATTAAAATTTTAGATGTACCCCGACTCGAAATGCTTCATAGTACAATACATCATGACAAGGTATCCATGTTATCTTCATAGTCTGTGATGATGCCATCTTCTTGAAGAACAAATCATCTGCCAGTTAAAATGTTACTTAGACTAAGTCCAAATCGTTTCCATGGAAATCAGGAAAAATATAAATGCCAAAAGTTTGCAAATAGCAAAAGGCACCACTTTCAAGATCTGTTTGATATATCTGCCAAGTTTTGTTGAAAGATATTGAACAGTTTTCGAGGTGTGCTCCGGAAATGAAGCCCACCCCTCACTTTTGAGACTAAGTCCAAATCGTTTCCATGGAAACCGAGAAAAATAAAAATGATAAAAAATCAAACACATGATAAAATTACCTGAAAAGTGTAGTTTTAGTTTTATTTGCTCCTCAATTTTGATATTTTAGATATGTTTAGGATCATATTTGTGTCTTTCATTACATTCATGTTTCACTATACTACTTTTCCACCCTTATTTGGAGGAACATTGACTTATCAGTGATATGTCAAAGCATTGCACAATCATATTTACAGATACCAAATCCCTCATGTTCATAAAACAGCTTTGGGACATTGGGACACGGTTTTCAGTGGAAACTACACTGAATTACTTAACATTAACAGACCTTGCAATCAACTAAACATTGAGTCCCCTACAATCAACTAAATGTGAAATCCCCTCACATTCAACTTAACTTGAAATCCCCTAACAATCAAATGTGAAATCCCCTTACAATCAACTACACGCGAAATCCCTTTACAATCAACTAAACGTGAAATCACCTTACAATCAACTACACTCGAAATCCCTTTACAATCAACTAAACGTGAAATCCCCTTACAATCAACTAAATGTGAAATCCCTTACAATCAACTAATGTGAAATCCACTTACAATCAACTAAACTCAAAATCCCGTTACAATAAACTAATGTGAAATCCCCTCACAATCAACTAAACGTGAAATCTCCTTACAATCAACTAAATCAGAAATCCCCTCACAATCAACTAAACATGAAATCCCCTCACAATCAACTAAACATCAAATCTTCTTACAATCAACTAAACATGAAATCCCCTTACAATCAACTAAATGTGAAATCCCTTACAATCAACTAAATGTGAAATCCCTCACAATCAACTAAACATCAAATCCCCTCACAATCAACTAAATGTGAAATCCCCTCACAATCAACTAAACGTGAAATCCCCTTACAATCAACTAAATGTGAAATGCCCACACATTCAACAAAATGTGAAATCCCCTTACAATCAACTAAATGTGAAATCCCCTCACAATCAACTAAATGTGAAATCCCCTCACAATCAACTAAATGTGAAATCCCCTCACAATCAACTAAATGTGAAATCCCCTCACAATCAACTAAGTGTAGGGCAGCAGTAACTTAGACATGAATATCTTTTGAAAGCATTCCATTTACCGGTAGTCATATATTATGTTGAGGTATGACACAAAGAAGCAGTGGTAATGATGACATGAAATACGATTGGTACCAATTTGTCAGTGTTCAAAAAGAGAGTTTGTACCTGGCCTTTTAATGCTGCAAGAACACTGACATCCGTGGTGTCTCTCCAAGTCACACTACCAATGTAACCCATAATTAAGTTGGTGAGAAAAAACTACAGGTACTGTCACTACACTTGGTGAGAAGAGGATTCTATGCAGATCTCTTCAATCGACATAGAACACAAACATCAACAAAAACATGTTTGATCACAAAATTTGTTCAAGATTGAACCCTTTAACATGCCTGGTCTGATATATTTTCCCTTAACAAAACTTACAGACTGCAGGCTTAATACTTACTCTGTAGAATTTTCTAAATGTCTGCTATCAAAAATACTTACTACATTTGCTTGCAAAGCAACTTTGGCAAATCCAGTTCTTTTTCCCCACATGACATGATAATATTCATCTCCGAAGAGTGCCTCTCGCACACCACCTGTGTAAAAATACATCAACACTTTATGAATTTAAAGACTATCCACTTGCTGACCTGTGTAAAAGGTATATTGAAAGTTGTGTTTATCATGTTTTCTCTGTTCTCCTAAAATATATCATACCTATTCTCTTTGTTGACTAATTCCCCATACCAAGTAGCATGCTGTTTAGAAGGGTTTCCAGTTTGGAACCACAAGATACCATACTTCAGACTTTAGACTGACGGAGTACATCAGGTAATTCTCCAGACAGCTTGCTGCAATGTTTCTGTCATATTTACGGCACCAATTTCAGGACCATTTTCTCAAAAGTTGCCAGAATCCTAGCATATAATGAACTCCAAGTCCTAACACACATTATTTACAGATCTTGACTTAATCAATATTTCTTAACAACAAACAATGGGAAATGTTCCTGGAGTTGTGTCCCCTTACCTGCTTGGCGCAATGCTGTAGTTACAGTCCAACAGTAGTCATTACAGGCTGATATTGAAATAGAGGCCTATTGGCCAAGCCGAAACTTCCGTTGAAATTAAACCTATTTGTTTCACTGTACTTCTTATATCACGAATTACGAAAGATGGAAGTGGCCCTGACTGAAGACTGTACTCAAAGCAAATTAAGAACTAGTCTGTTCGCACGAAAAACAAAACTATTAGAGCGGTGACTGTAATATTGCCATTTTTCGGCATTTCTTACTGAGCAGTTGCTTTGTAACCTAGTCAAAGGAATGTGTCCCCATTATGTAACATTACACAAAGTAGTATTAGTGTCATGATCATTGATAGAGCTGGTTTAGTTTACACTGCCATCAGCGTTCAATAAATAATGTAAGCATAGACCAGATGACAACATAAGTGCTTCAGTTTTCGTTCAAGGATGTTGAAGGATTTGAAATATAAATCATTCATCACATTAATGACTTGTTGTCAGTGTACTAAACAAAATATTACATCCATTTACACGGTAAGTAGGCATAACTTTTGGTTGAGGCCATTATTCAATTACACATAGGCCTCTGAAATTATTATATACTGTGATTTTATGAAGAGAGATTAACTTGGAATCTGTGTTTGGACTGCATTGTATTTTCCTCCTTTCCCCCTGTCCTTTGGGACAACATAGAGATCCTATCCAATAGTCCGTTCATAAAGTCTCCAGAGAGTTTGAGAGCAGGAGATAAAGTCTCGTCAGTGATGAATTTAGGTGTTTGAGGTATGTCTGGTACAGCAGGTTGATGGATATCCATGTCAGAGGGGACAGGGGGGTACCTAGTTCCCCGAGTCTGGAATGGAATCGATATCAAACTCATGGTTCAACAACCCAGCGACATGCGGGTAGTTGAACATGTTCCACCAGCCAGCATAATGACCTTTTGCTTTCAGCATCACTTTGTGACGGCAACCAAGCTATGAAATTAACTGCAAAATGCTACTGGAGTGAACGTTTCCACTCAGACAATTCATAATCGTCTTCGGGAGGCTGGTCTTTGGTCAAGGAGAGCATGCATTCACATCCCTCTTACCCGGCGTCTCTGACAAGCACAGTTGGAGTTGGCAGATTGGGTACAGACGAGTCAAGGTATTGTTTGCACTTCACCGATCGATGTGCACGGGTGTAGCGAAGAGCAGGAGAGCGATTTAATGATGTTAACTTGCTGAACATGACAGATTGGCATCTGGCTCATTAATGGTTTGGGGAGGCATCAGCAGGGCTGGGAGTGTGATGACAGGTGTGCATTACAGGGATGAGATCCTGGATGTGATTGAACCTGTTTGTTGGTGCAGTTAGTCCTGACTTCAACCCAATGATGCACGACCCCATCATACCAGGGTGGTTGATGCTTACCTTGAGCAAGAGACAATTATCTGTATGGAATGGCCAGCTCGTTCACCGGACCTCAACCCAATAGAACACATTCTGAACATGCTTCAGGTTTCCATCTCACGTTGTCCTGTGTATCCAGGTTCTCTTCAAGAACACAGAATTGCTCTCCGCCATGAGTGGAACAATCTTCCCTTGGCGTCCATCCTTACTCCTATTGGAAGCATGAGACTATGGTGCCAGGCTGTAATCGTATCTCATGGATCCCATAACCGCTGTTGACAGTTGTTGTGTTATGGTCAATGACTTGTTCTGTGATTTGGAGATTTGTTGGTTGCTGTTAGGGCTATGCAATAATAACCCTGTACAGTATCTCATTATACAAATATATCGTTCAGATTCTGCAATATATTGGGTCATCCAGAGTTAGCTCCCTTGGAATTATCTGCCCTTGATTTTCATAGCAACAAAATGTGCTCTTAAAGTGCCAAATATACTTTCTGTTGGTTTCATGTAACATCTGGGTTGGTCAGAAATAAAACTTTACATCCTGTGTCATCATGTTTTACTGTATCTGGGTTGGTTAGAAATAAAACTTCACATCCTGTGTCATCATGTTTTACTGCATCTGGGTTGGTTAGAAATAAAACTTCACATCCTGTGTCATCATGTTTTACTGCATCTGGGTTGGTTAGAAATAAAACTTCACATCCTGTGTCATCATGTTTTGTGTCACCTACTGCATCTGGGTTGGTTAGAAATAAAACTTCACATCCTGTGTCATCATGTTTTACTGCATCTGGGTTGGTTAGAAATAAAACTTTACATCCTGTGTCATCATGTTTTACTACATCTTGGTTGGTTAGAAATAAAACTTCATATGCTGTGTCATCATGTTTTACTGCATCTGGGTTGGTTAGAAATAAAACTTTACATCCTGTGTCATCATGTTTTACTACATCTGGGTTGGTTAGAAATAAAACTTCACATCCTGTGTCATCATGTTTACTGCATCTGGGTTGGTTAGAAATAAAACTTCATATGCTGTGTCATCATGTTTTACTGCATCTGGGTTGGTTAGAAATAAAACTTCACATGCTGTGTCATCATGTTTTACTGCATCTGGGTTGGTTAGAAATAAAACTTCACATCCTGTGTCATCATGTTTTACTGCATCTTGGTTGGTTAGAAATAAAACTTCACATCCTGTGTCATCATGTTTTACTGCATCTGGGTTGGTTAGAAATAAAACTTCACATCCTGTGTCATCATGTTTTACTGCATCTGGGTTGGTTAGAAATAAAACTTCATATGCTGTGTCATCATGTTTTACTACATCTGGGTTGGTTAGAAATAAAACTTCACATCCTGTGTCATCATGTTTTACTGTATCTGGGTTGGTTAGAAATAAAACTTCACATCCTGTGTCATCATGTTTTACTGCATCTGGGTTGGTTAGAAATAAAACTTTACATCCTGTGTCATCATGTTTTACTGCATCTGGGTTGGTTAGAAATAAAACTTTACATCCTGTGTCATCATGTTTTACTGCATCTGGGTTGGTTAGAAATAAAACTTCACATGCTGTGTCATCATGTTTACTGCATCTGGGTTGGTTAGAAATAAAACTTCACATGCTGTGTCATCATGTTTTACTGTATCTGGGTTGGTTAGAAATAAAACTTCACATCCTGTGTCATCATGTTTTACTGCATCTGGGTTGGTTAGAAATAAAACTTCACATCCTGTGTCATCATGTTTTACTGCATCTGGGTTGGTTAGAAATAAAACTTCACATCCTATGTCATCATGTTTTACTGCATCTGGGTTGGTTAGAAATAAAACTTCACATCCTGTGTCATCATGTTTTACTGCATCTGCACCATGACGTATAGGTATCTCCATGGCCGTGTGGTTCATGATAACAGTTCTGGTAGGACGATCAATGAACCCTCCATTTTGATATTTTTGAAATAGGAAATCATGCTCGTGCTGTTGCGTCTAAATTGTAGTGGCCATCATGGTTCTGGTGATCTGTCTCACCTCTGTGGCTGGTGCAGTCGTTACGGCAGGTGTACAGCTGGTGTATGGCTGGCTGCAATTCCCACCAAGTCCGCTGTAGACAGCAAGGGATCCTTAAGTCGTGGTGACCTGGAAATGTGCTGTCCAGTGGTGACTTCATCGCCTCGGAAACTAGGTCACCGGGGTATACCTCTGCTGAAGTGATCGTGGCTGATGGCTCTCGATGAAGCTGCTTGGAGGAGATGCTGACTTTCCTCTTTCAGCTTTGGTTGTCAGTCGCTTTGATAAGTCCCTTATTAGATCTCCAAACAGCTTGAGAAGTGCAGATAGCACCACTTTGTGACGAACAGCTCAGGGTTGGTAATTAAAGGCGATTTTAGAACTGTATACACAGGAAGGACAACAAACTCCCCCGAAGCCTCTAACTTGCGCTGGAGCTTCTGCCGGACTGTAATACATCACGATCAACATCATCGGTTAATTCTTCTCCAACTCAAAATCATTCTGTTTAATCACCATACAATACTTTCATAGGCCGCTAGTGATAAGCTGAGCAGATATCACATCTGGTGACGAAGGAACAAGACGAATCTACACTCTCCCAACATAATCACAGGGATCATGAAGAGACATCAATTGCCACATTTAGCAGTTTCACCAAACTTGTCAATTTTTATTCAATTAAAGCTGTGCATCAGAAACAAGTTTCTGGAAAAAGGCAATGAAGTGTTTGAGGAACGTAGTCGTAAGAATAATAAGACCTTTGTCTCATCATGTTTTACTACAGATGCAGACAGTTCTGGCTTCTACATTAATATCCTATCTTTTAACAAGGAAACAGACATGATAAAATATTACAAATGCATGAGTAAGTTCCCTTCAGTAGAAGTATTTGTAACTGTATTTTAACTCATTTTAAATTTTCTTAACTCAATCCAGTTTGAACCCAACTCTCTTATTTACAACATTTTATGCTGTGTTTTAGCTATGGGGTTAGCTGTGAATCAACAATTCTGTGACACTCCATGTTTCATGAATATATGACATCAGGGGAAATAATTTTTTTAAAAATATGAGTAAAAACCTGCATCGTGGGATGTTAGTCAACACGTTATTGATATATAATGCATGACATTGATGGTATCTTGAGAGTAACTCCTTACAGAACACCCCACACTGGTTCATCACATCCACAACGCTATACATGTATACTGACAATGTTTCAACATAAAACTGCTGTATTTTGTTTCAAGGTTATTGTAAGTGATTCCCTTAATCATTTTGATTCAATCCACTCAAAACTCATTATTTTCATTCAATATCTTCACTAGCTTCTAAGAGTACATTTTGTGGAGATCCACACTGGAGATGAATGCAGTGTTAAAAACATAGAGCTTGGTCAACTGAAAACTAACTTCACTAAGTTTCAAATTTGAAACCTCTCACGCTATCTCCAAAACAACCTCATAAAGTGAAAGTTAATCCCTAAATGAATTTACGCAAAGTGAAAGTCAGTCCTTACAAGAACATAGTGATATGCGTCATTTTACCTGATATATGACAAAACAAATCAACCGAAAGCTGGTCTCCCATGGGACATTCTTTCATGAATATGATTTTCCAAATTTGCAAATGAGTTCAAGTGGACAATTTCAGTTGGTGTGACTTGATGGTGAAGCCTGATGGCCAGTGTACGTACCAGGAGATATGGTGAGTATGTGTCCAGCCTTCAGTACATCTACACAACTCTGTACAGTGCCTGGCGTCACATGGAACACCTCCATCAACAGTCGCCAGCCTGTACCACAAGTACATACATTACACAAACCATTCAGTAGACAATGTCTTTCTTTGTCACTCAGAAAAAATGGGAGAAGTGTATAAACACTTACATCTACGTATATGCATACTTACAGTGAATGTGATGTAAAAAACAGACAAAAACATAGGCTAAAGCATAAATACTAATATTGATATTGTCGAAGTAATATATAAAGAGTACTCTTTCAAAATTATTAAAATCTAAATATTTTAGATATTTAAATACTTACCTTACCATAGGTCTTATGCATATTACCTCAAGCTCCGCTTAAAAGAGATCAGACAATCGTTGATTCGCCATTCTCTAGAATGGCTGCCTCAAGTATCGACGAGTGTACAGGAACGGAAGTGACGTGATCTCCCCTCTCCGTGCAAGGGCGGTCTATCCAAAAATCACTTTTACTGACCAGGTCCGAAGAGCCCAGAGAGGGGAGGAGCATCCAGCATTGGGAGGGAGTTACTGCCCTATGGTAAGCTAAGTATTTAAACATCTAAAATATTTAGATTTTAATAAATTTTTAGCTTACCTTACCATAGGTCTTATGCATATGGATTCGACAGTAGGACGGCCGTGTCGGGCTCCAGAGGACCCATGAAGAAAAACAAGATCACATGCCAAGGGAAACCAAGGAAACTAACTGAATCGGCAGACTGTCGCAGGCAGCGCCTGGAACAAGAAACAGATAGTGACCCAAGGAAACCCTAAGAAAACAATACACCCAGGGCGTAAGTTATCCTTAAGACCAGAAGGTAAGGAGAAGTAATTACCTAATGGGCAGTAGGTCGGGTGAGTTGCTGGGCAACCACCAGTGGACCAAAGGATTGCAGACCTTCAACATCCTCGAAATAAACCTCAGGTACTTCCTGTGACGATGGTAAATGGGCACATGCAGGTAGCCATCCTGGAGGTCGAGACTGGCCCGCCAGACCCTGGGCACAAGCTTAGCACGAAGCTGTTCCAGGGACACCATCCGGAAGTGAGGCGGCTCCGAAAGGTAAAGGTGGTTGAAAACTGCCATGTTGTGAATCATGCGCATTTTCGCTGAGTCTTTCTTGGGATCCAGGAAGATGGGTGAGTAGAACCCTGGGGACTGTTGGGGGTCTAGCACTGTCTCTATAGCTTCTTTGTCTAACAGAGTCTGAATGTTGTGAGCTAGCAGTGACTGTTGGCCTGGAGCATACACGCATGACTGGGGCGTAGTAGTCAGAGGCGGCGACACGGCGAATGGCAGCTTGTAACCGGTCTGAGAATGTTGGTCACAAACCGATCTTCTAGGACTGTCCAATTTGGCCAGAAGATCCCCAGTCTCCCGCCTACTGGAGTAGGACGAACCGGCACGGCTGGGGCCGGGAGGTCCCAGTTGTGTTGGTTCCAAACTTCAGTGACCTGAGTAGGGGCGCTTCCCTCTACCCCTGCCGGGCGTCGAAGGAGGCTCCCGGGGACGGTCCTGCTGCCGGCGCTGTAAGTCGGGGTCTGACCTGCCATGGCCACGTCGTTTGCCGAAGGCACTATGGACAGAGTCTCTTCTTGGGACGTAACGGCGCTTCCCTCTACCCCTTGTAGACGACTTGCCACGAAAGGCCGAACTCAGAGCTTTGAAAGTAGACAGGGACACCTCCGTTTTAGTAAGCTCTGCATGTTCCTTATAAACATCCAGAATCCTGTCATCAAAGAGGAAGTGGGACATGAAAGGGGCTCTCAACAGCTTTCTTTTGAACTCCTCCTGCCAAGAGCAAGGCTCAAGGAAACCCATCCGTCGAACAACAGTCGTCATGGCCAATGCCGTCGAAGGTGTGCCAGTATATCATGTAACACCTTACCCTGCCATTGGAAAAGGGTGGTAAGGTGCTCTGTCCTCGATGCATTATCTTCAGTTAAGTTCCAAGCTGCAACCGAAGTTGCAGAGGCCAACGCCTTAACAGGCTTCAACATCCTCTTGAGCTCTGGCCAATAGCCAACATCTTAGAGTCCTGCACTCGTCGGTAAAAGACTGTGGAGAACCCGATAAACGTTTGAGGGGTTCATCATGAGCTGCGTCTCAATCAGAGAAATCCAGGCTTTAATTATGTTCTTCACCCACACAGAGAAGAACAAGAACTTTAATATCTGAAAGAATCAGTAAGTAGTGAACTAGCGAAATAAAAAAACGTCTGACACACAGCACGCTTGAAGTAAAAGTGATTTTTGGATAGACCGCCCTTGCACGGAGAGGGGAGATCACGTCACTTCCATTCCTGTACACTCGTCGATACTTGAGGCAGCCATTCTAGAGAATGGCGCATCAACGACTGTCTGATCTCTTTTAAGCGGAGCTTGAGGTAATATGCATAAGACCTATGGTAAGGTAAGTTAAAAATTAATCAAATGGTAAAGAACTACAGAACTGCAGTGTTGATTATTCTTGGAATTCCCCCTTACAATAACACAGATAAACATACACAAATTTTACCTACAAATCCATGTTTTAGTTTGAAATTTTTCATGGTTGAACATATTATCAATATTCTTTTGCATGAACACATTTCCAGCCTTTTGGGTTGGAACATGAGATGTGGATGTAGGTCTTTATGTAACAAGATACATGTTCTTGGTGAACAAAACAACAATATTTTGCATTGATGAAACTGAACAACAGGGGATTGTCACAAATGCAATAAGTCAAAGAGTCTAAGGTTTCTAAAAATCTTTCCTCGAAGAGTGTTACATACCTGGAATGTGAAACAGGAAGCGGTCTCCAACGGCTCTGATTTGACGACCTTTCTCTAAGATGATTTTGGCCATGATGTAATATATATCAATGGGGATGACCCCATGGTAGTAGATAACCAGGGCAGGTCCAGTGGCAGGTATCTCCTGCAGCCCCACAACCTCATAACCTGAAACAAATACACAAGTTATCATTCATTCTGCAAACCATTTATCAGTAACAATTTGTAGTCAGTAGGTTAGCAGATGTATGGACAACAATTTACAATATCAAGAAAGAAAGCCACTTGACAAAAGTTACCCATGATATCCAAATATTCTGTGCATAAATAATGAACACCATGTGATAAATACAGAACAAAGACAAGTAACTAGATTTCATCCAATCACATATGTTCACCTGATTTAAAGACAAGAATAAATTTTGCAAATAGTCTGTTTCTACCAAAGTTAATTTTTTCATGATGCCTTGAATCTGCCAGAGCAGACATGACCCTTCCCTTCAAGTCTGGACACCTTGGATACAATCAAGCAGACGCCACCGTACCCTCCAAGTCTGGACACCTTGGATACAATCAAGCAGATGCAACCGTATCCTCTAAGATTTACCCCATTAAGTGATATCTATCTGTTTTTCTCCTTAGGCAGATTTGATGAGGATTGCAGCTTTTGCGTACAAATGACATCCAACTGTGTTACTGATCTTGTTATTGGTGGGTATAATGATCAGGGCGCCGTTGTACAAAACAACCTTATACTATAGTCATAAGTCTATGTTAATGTATAGGAGTTACGATCACCTTAGCTCTAAGATCGCTTCGTACAATGGCAACCTGTCCTCATTAAATACGTTTGAGGCTTATTTTAGCAGATGATCTAGTCTTTTGTGTTGACTTAAACTTGGATGAGTCTCAGGTGACTTGGATTTTTATGAACTTCCCCTTTGAGAGTAGGGTGCAAAACAAACAAACATGTGATGACAGCTACATAGGTATTTGTGGATATGATGTAATAGAGGCCCAGATAGCAAAGGTGTGTTGGGCCAATGTTGGTATATGGTTGGTTGGTTGGCCAACAGTTTGACAACATTGGCCCAACGTTATCTTAATGACTTAAAAGTAACGGTGGCTTTTGAACGTTGGTCCAACAGTGGGCCAACATTTGAAAAACTCTGCCTATGTTCCCTGATCTTTCATCTATTTCACAAAGTTGGGCCACCGTTGGCCCAACATTGTGAATAAAAGAGTGAGCACACGGCCATTTTTAGCCATGTTTTCTTATAAAGATTTTGATGAAAGTTGAAATAATTACACAGACAAAAGAAAGAATCCATTTCCCTGTTTTTTAACTATGATAAAGTGAATATTACAGCATTGTTTTCTCCAAATTGAATACCAAACTTGTCATCATTGATAGCTTTACCTGATATTCAAAGAGCAGACGACACTACATTTCTGGAGGCCTTCAACTGGTAAATATGCATTGTTATTTCTGTGATACTGAATTGCAAATATATTGTGAAATAATTAATTAAAATCATCATTTAGGCTAAAGAAAGTGACACATACCGTACTGAAAGGCAATTGATTGAGTAGATAAAAGATTTAATTGACTCTTTTCTGTAGGTAGCCTGTTTTAACCACTTTGATAAATCTCATTTCATTTTAAATTATTTAAATTTATTGTGTTTACTTTATTAACATTATGTGTTTGTCAGTTACACTCCTGTTTCCATATACAACTCTCTCTATTATTCATCTTTACAACCAATAATTGCTAAACATCATCAAATCAGATATATGTGTCACAGTTATAGTAGTTACACGTCATATCCAAATAAAACATTGTTTGAACAGCATTCTAGAAGTTGGTCAGTCAAAAATGAAACATACATCTCTATGGATAACAACTTCTTGTTTATAGTATAGAAGCTGACGTTTGATGTAGATTCTTACACCGTTATCAAGCTAAAAGTGACTACAACCAAATGATGAGAAGTATATATACATGTACATAGTATGTTTTGTCAAATAAACATAATTGGGAGCGGCCAGTTTGGGACTAAGAACAACAAATTGATCTAGTGATGAAACCAATTAACAAGGGATGGGGGTGGGGTGTTAGGTTGTAACAACCTGATAGGGTGTTTGATAGAGTCTATAGTTTAATTAGTTCTTCATATCCCAATGGTATGTAGTATCCTTGGTCTCTATTGATCAAAGGTTTGTGGCGGCTGATTTTGATGGCTTCCAAAAGTTTTCTTTTTGTGCAGTCCTGATTCTTGGTGGATAAGATTTCAAATTTGTCAAACCAGCCCCTAAAACTAAGTTAAGCGTCATCTCAACCCTGATCAAGCACGCTAAGAACATTGCTCCACCAGCCATGACCTAGAACATGGCGGAACCACCTACAACATGTCTTCCACGAGCCTCAACCAGTAACCCACCAACTCATAGTCTGTTTGATTTCACTTGAGACCGATGAATTGCTCACTAACACAAAATCAAATAATTGCAACAAAACCAAATTTTGCAGTCACATGAAAACGACAGACCAATGAAGAACTAATCAAACTATAGACTCTATCAAAGCACCCTATCAGCTTGTTGTTACAACTGAATCCCCTGTTTATTGGCTTCATCACCATTCCATTTGTTGTTCTTAGTCCCCATCTGGCCTCTCCCACTAATGTACCAGTTGTTATTCAATTACATGTTGTTGTTAATGTCAATTTGCTGATTGTCAAAACATACTACATATATCCTTCTCATCATTTGGTTTTAGCTTGGTAACAGTGTAAGAATCTACATCCGGCGTTTTCAATCATTAAGTTGTACATGGTATGTTTCAAATAAAACATAAGGCCAAATACTATGTCCTTTTCACGATAGATATCCGACAGTATCATGAAATTTTTGGGTTGTTTTTTCAGGAGCAGTTCGAAAAAACTGTCATGGCGACATCCAAAGACCTAAAACAAGAATATTTTCAAGAAATACAATAATGTTCAAATAACAATGAAAAAAAAAAGAATTAGATATAGTTCACTTGATTAACTTGTTGTGTTGTTTATATATGTTTCTGATTGCAGAGGTCAGGAAAGAGCTAAATGTTGAAATACAGTTGTGCCAACATAAGGCCAACTAAATCACATCGTTAGACCAAGTATGGGCCATGGTTTTGAGTACAAAGGTCAAGAAAGAGCTAAATGTTGAAACACAGTGGTGCCAACATAAGGCCAACCAAATCACTACGTTGGGCCAACTATGGGCAATAGTTTTGTGTGAATTTTCATTCGTTGGCCCAACAATTAGCCAACATGATGGGCCACTGTGGAGCCGATGAGCATATCCAAGTGGGCCCATCGTCAGTTTGACAACAATGGGCCAACCAAACCGTTGATTATGGGCCAACTATGGGCCAACATATCAATGCTATCTGGGGGGAGGCTAATCAAAGTAATTACGAACTTTCGAGAAGGTGAGTGAGCGAGTTTAGTTTTAAGCCGCACTCAGCAATATTCCAGCTAAATGGCGGCGGTCTGTAAATAATCAATTCTATTTTTGAGAAGGATTATACATCAACTGACCTCAAACAAACAATTAAACACATACCATGCCAAATTCTGCCTTGACCATCCCACAAAGCTGCTAGAGTTTTCCTGGCTCCATCCCAGAAGTCTTGAGCATAGGCATCTCTGAGCCTGTGTCTCTGTCTGTACACCAGTAGGAACAAGACTGAGGCATACAGGAACAAGAGGAGGACTAGTGGCAGCAGAAAGGAGATAATGATTGGGTAGGTTAGCCATACTACCCAGCGTAAGTAATCAATGTCCAGCTGGCCAACTTGCTGCAGAATGTAATCCACACTCTTGGTCAAGTTGTACATCTCACATCCTCAGGCACAACATCTACCTACCTATAACATACAAAACACACAAAATTAAGGTCAGATACATGGTTCCATAATGCCCGCGTATACATCTGCTGTGGTTTAGTAGTGGTAAATACATGACACATGAACAATCAATTATCTTGTTAAGTAGGGATTTACAGGCCGCAAATTCCTGCGTCCTATACGCATAAAAATTGACGATGGAAGCAATGAAATTTATTAGAGCATCCACAGGGATGCAGAAAAAGTCCAAATACTTTTGTAAAAATTCCAGTCAAGCAACAATAAGTTATCACTGAGTTTGTTACTAGCTGGGTTATGGTATTATTTACAATTTCATTATGGTAACAATTAATGTGTTGATCATGATACACAATACAATAACAGTATTAATGATAATATTTAAGTGCCTGGGACCCCCATTTTGTTGTCCAGGACCCCTGAAAATTATAAGCATGAGTACCAGGGACCCTCAAATACAGGACTCAAGGTAAATCCCAGTTATAGAGATATTTTTTGTCATCAAAATGAATGACCAGACAAAAAGTATTCTGAAACATTTGTTATCTCCAGTCATACTATATAATAAGTGTCATATTTACATCATGGAGGATGACAGAGCTATGGAAGAATATGATATTTGTTTAAAGTAAGATGAAAATATTTAGAACATATTTCAGGGACAACATTGCTGTGATCCTTGAAAGGCATTTAGAAGTTGGTCGGACATGAATATATGACACATTTTGTGGATAACAAGTTCTATTTATTCTTTATACGATGTTTCAGAGCTCATTCTTGCTCCTTCGCCAGGTGAATGCTGAATGCACAGAGTAAATATATATTGACAGAACATGTTTACACAAAGTAAATATATATCGACAGAATATGTTTACACAAAGCAAGGTGGGAGAAACTTCAAAGATAACAACATAATCATGTAGTCAATTAGATGGGATAAGTGTACAGAGATAACAATGTAAAGCTGAAGACAATGAGCTTAACGGTATAACAATTTAGATGAGGTGAGGTGAAATGGGGTTTAACGTCGTACTTAAGAATATTTCACTCATATGATGATGTGCATGTATGTGTATGTGGCTGCTTGTACTAGCCCAGACTTAAGCTGGTTTTATAGTGCTTGCTCACTGAGATACCATGCCGCAGTTAAGCATGAATACCCCACTCAGACACATTATACTGACTCCAAGCTGACCAGTCCTTGTTGTACCCATTAATGCCAAGAGCCAGGCAGGGACCAACAAGTACCATATTTTAACGTCTTTTGGTATGATGCGGCCAGGTATCGAAACTGCGACCTTCTGCTCTCTGGGCAGATGCTCTAACAACTACAGCACGGAGGTGGTCCTATAACAACGTAAGATGAAGCCAGTAATTATAGCACAATTGAGTACAACGTCATACCAGTCACCAGATCAGCAGACTGCCTACCAGAAGAGCCAAAATAGACGTCACTTTCACTAAAAATCATGTTACATGCAGATGGAAACGGTCCCACCCAGTCCATCCAAAACTGTAGAGACAAATACATAGGAGAGACATCATACCCCATAGCAACCAGATAAAAGAACATAAGACCTCTGTTGAAAAATCTGACATGAATTCTGCCCTTTCGAACACCTCATAAGAAATCATGACCACCATATTTCCTGGTAAACAAACCAAAATTCTACACACCAACATCAACCACTGGAAAAAGGGGAAACTTCAAGAAAGCATCGAAATCCACAGAAAGAAGCCAGCCACTAACTGCGACCACGGCATGTGCTATACGTCGAATAAACAACAATAAGTAGTTGTTATCCAGAAAACGGATCATGTAAACATTGCTGGGATCATAAACATAAAATTTCAGTAAATGTCTTTATTCCACTTCAAGGTAGGTCACATCAGTCAAAAATAAATACATGCACACAAAGTATAGTTTTAGGTTAGATTCTATGATGCCTAGCGGTTAGAACAATCGAAAAAAACAAACATTATCAGACAATAAAGGTATAGTTTTTTGATGACGTAACAATTGAATGACGTTATCCCGTCACTGCGCCATTCTAGTGTGCCCCCTCGTAATCGAACCATTTTACATTGCGTCACAATGTAAGCGACGTCACGATGCATGTCAGTTGTCATCGCCTCGTATGGCCTCCTACAGTAAACTACACCGTTGCATCCAGTTTCTTGGTTTGCTGTTGCTTCACGCAGCTAACATCACTGGTGGAAACATTACGTTTATGTTTTACGACGGTTAAAATGTGTCATTTCGACTCACAAGTTTTCAGCGACACGGTAGCGTTAAGTAATGTTTACATTCCCACAATGCAATTGTGGAATGTCGCTGACTACTCAACTTCCTCAGGATGTACTGATCTAAACTTACGCTGGTAGTAGAAATGCAGCGTTCATATTGCCCCATATGGTTTACGTTAATGACAGATGTAATTAAAATAATTCAGAGAAGATATTTAATCCGAACGTAAACGGTCATCAAACTGTTATCATTTGTTTTTTTCTGGTAACGTTTGTCTTAACGTAGGTGGCAGACACATCAATAGAACAGCGTGCCAGTTAGCCCTGTGCGAGGATTCTTAATTTAGGTCACCGACACCGTCGTTTGTTTTCTGCCTTAAATTAATCGTAATTATCTTTAGAAAGTATTAAATTTGGCATCTTAAAAAAGAAATACACTTCGGCTCTACCACCATGTATAGTGTAATAAAACACACTTTTGCCCTGAACTGTTATAGTTAAAGCACGAGGACGCTTGCGTCCGAGTGCTTTAACGTTATAATAGTTCTCGTCCTCGTGCTTTAACTATAATAGTTCAGGGCAAAAGTGTGTTTTATTACACTATACATGGTGGTAGAGCGAAGTGTATTTCTTAAGTAAAACTGATTTTAACAGTACGTAAAGAGTTGCCTCCCTTTGACCAGCTCATGACTTAAAGCACATTTGATTTGTGATGTGGACAGTTATCTTCCTTGGTGTTTCATAAAACACTGTGCTTACGGCTAGCATGGCGACTGCTGTCGCACACAAGCTTTACCCTCCACTCCCTCCCAGTAGCTTTTCTGGTTTGTGGAGTCACACAATGTATCACGCAATTCCTTGTCTGGCCGTCAGTTTCAATATGCAAGCTACATACTTAATTGTACTGTGTGGGAGATAATATACATTATTACATTACTGTAACATTTTGTAACTGGCTGCATACTGACAAGTTTCATGATGTATCTTCCAGCCTTTTGAATTTATTAAATTGTGCCAAATGTTTTAATTGCTTGTTATGTTTAATTTGAAGTAGAAGTTAAAATACATAATATGTTTTATGAGTACACCATATTTACTGCACATAAATGCAGAAACAGTAGAGAGTACAATTAGTGGTGTTTGCAGGTATTTTCCTTGCCGCACTGTCCACATTTCGCCTGAGCATTGCCAGGGTTAAAGCCTAACCACTTGTTCTCTGTCTATAAACATCATTGATTGTTGTTTAACGTCGCACTCAGTAATATTCCAGCAACATGGCGGTGGACTGTAAAGAATCCAGAGTTCAGCAGCATGAGTATCAATCTACACGAATTGGATATGATGACATGGGTCAACCACGTCAGAGAGCATGACAACCCGATCCAGTTGGTCACCTCTTACGACAAGCACGGATTGCTGAAGACCAATTCAAACTCAGATCTTCATGGGTCGGAGTGGCTTTGGTGAAGTGTTTTGGATAAATTCCCTTTTGATCAGTATTTCAGTGACATCACTGTGTGTCAGCCTGCAGTGTGGGGACAGCCCAATGTGCTGCAGGTCTGTGATGTTTACTATCACAGTGAAACCCACCAGAACAGTTGTGGTGCTGACAAACGTTATGTAAGCAAAACTATTGAACAATTAGCTCCTCTTGATGGGAGTTTGAGTTTGCCTGACTGGGCAAAGCTTAGCATGAATTCAGAGCATAGTGGTGTATTCTATCGGTTTTGGTCCCCCACATGTGAACGGTTCGACAAGCGACTAAAAAACTTGGAACTAGTCATGGACGGATTTGTTATTTTTAAATTTATTTTTCTTTACTTCCGGATTTCCACGTTTCGTGAAAATATGAGTGAGCATTCTGAATTTGTGAACCCTTGTTATAATATCAAATAGCAATAAAGTCTACCGTCGAAAACAGGTTGCCATGAATTGTAAATTGAGCATGAGTCAAAATATTATTGGTATAACCTTGGTACAGCTACTGAGTCTAACCTAACATCGCCTAACAATGACCGCTCCACAGTTACCTGTTCACGAAGTAGTATCAGATACTTCCAACAACAACACGTAGAACTGCCATCGAACATGACTTATACTTTTCAAAGGTGTATACAGAGAACTCTTCTGCCTAGAAGTAAGAGATTATGTGTGGTTAATACGGCCCTTTACCAAAACAGCCCCAAACAGACCCACTTACTTGCGAAACGGCCAACAAAAAGATGATTTGTTGTATATTAAGCCATATACATGTATACATTTTCGCTTGTCCTCTGGGTGTGAGAGGTATAAACTCTGCTTTTCTGAACACATACAAATTTAAACCACTGAAGATCCTTGTAAGACCGTCAGCAAACTGGTAAAAGAGGCGACATATGTGACGTTGCTTCTGTGATGCATGCTATCGAATAACACTTTATAGATAAAGAATGTCAATGATGTCAATCGCTCGATTGTCTGAACAAGATTCGATTAATTTACAGACTGCTGTGATATATTTACATACATCATGAATATTGCTGAGTGCTTCGTTATGGACAAACGCACACACACGCGCGCGCGCACACACACACAGAGCCTCCTAGCACCATAGACATTTATTAAAATTATTACCCATATGTTGAAACATAACCCGTGTCATATATTGAGGATACTAAACGACCTGCCTTGTAATACCATTTTTGTCAAACGAGTTAATGATTTGGTATCAAACGAGCGAAATCAGTATTCCGTTTATTACTTTCCAACATAAGGGAAAGTTAATAATTTATGGCTAGGTGGGGTGATAATGGGTTTTTTTATGGAGAAGCATGTACAATGTGAATGACCCCACCCTAAAATTTAAGTACAAAATAAGTGACCCCCCTGCATGCCATGTACAAAATCAATGACCCCCTCCCCTTCCCATAATTTCTAAGCATTATTTTAAAATATTTTTATGTACAAAATTGCTGACCCCCCCTAGTACATATGTACAAAATTGCTGACCCCCCTAGCTCCCCAGAACAAAATGGGTGACCCCCCTTAAAATCATCACACACACACACACACACACACACACACGCGCACACACACACACCCCAAGCCATAACTTATGAACGGTCCCTAAATAGATAGAAACTGCCTACAGTGTGAGGACTTTTAGCTTTCCGCGAGTCAAGCAAGGTCTTAGACATATGATATTTATTACTCACCCGTTGAAGACACCACTGTTTGACATCTACAATGTTATTACACATTGAGTAATAACATCGCGTGATGCCTTACGTATGACGTCATTATGGTTTACAATTATGATGTCACAATGCTAATAACTCTGTCACTGTATTATTAGACCTTGGAATACAAAATTTCACACTCGTTTCGAATAAGTCGTAGGACACACTTGCTCGTGTAATAATCTCTGTTTATTATTCGCCCGTGGAAGATACTGCAGTGTAGTATTTTGACGGCACTATTACACTAGTGTAATACCGCTAGACGTATGACGTCATAATGGTTTACAGTTATGATGTCACAATACTAATACGTCTGTCACAATGGTATTAGACCTTGCTTGACTCGCGGAAAGCTGAAAGTCATCACACTGTAGGCAGTTTCTATCCATTTAGGGACCGTTCATAATTTATGGCTAGGGGGTGATGATGAGTTTAAGGGAGGGTCATCACACTTCGTAGGCAGTTTCTTTCAGTTTATGTTGGAGAGTAATAAACAGAATACTTAACTCGCTTCCGTGAAATACCATTTTTATTAAACTCGTGAAAGATTTAGCATCAAATCATTACCTCGTTTAATAAAAATGGTACTACACGGAAGGTCGTTTAGTATCCTCTATATATCACTGTGTCTCTCATATGACCTAAGATCGTAACGTTTATTGCACCCATGTGGGGAATCGAACCCGGGCCTTAGGCGTGATGAGCGGACGCATTAACCACTAAGCTACCCCGCCGCCCCAGGTCGCTAAAGGATCAATGGCGTCGACAGTACTTTATTTAAGCACTACAGTTTGTTTACCCCACGTATAGTGTGATAAACACATTTTTGCACTGAACTATTATGGTTAAATCACGAGGACACCTGTTGATGCTTCGCTAAATGTTTAGGTTAAGATCAAAGGCACTGACAGTACTTTATCAGGCGATAAGGTACACACTTTGTATTACGTCACATTAAATTGACGTCACTACGCCATTCTACTTTGCCCCCTGGTAATCAAACGAACCTTTGGTAATCGACGTCACGATTCACGTCAGTTTTCCTTGAGTACTACATTTTCCTACAGTGTTACTGAAATCGGTTAGCTCCCCGTTTCATGGTTTGCAGTTCCTTCTGTGGGCTTAACATCACCGGTGGAAACAGCAACACGGCAACGAAGAGTCCTTGTGATTGATCTGTAATATTATAGTTTAGTGCAAAACTGTACTTTATTACACTATACATAGGGGTAGAGGGAAATGTATTTCTTAAAGTATGACTTATATCTTCCATACTTTCGCATTAAACCGTACGAGACATTTTATGTTTGCTGTTTGCTTCGTTTCAAAGAGGAAAGACGTTAAAATATTTCTTGAATATTGCTGAGTGCTGCGCGAGCGACACATGGATACATGCATGCACACGAACACACACGCACGCACGCACACACACACACACACACACAAAAAAAAACCCAACACATTCCTAGCACGTCTTTTTTCTAAATACAATTTCCAATTACTGAGTATAATTATAATACACTATAACGTTTTATTGTTTTCAATACAAGCAGTTCAAAGGGCCGTTAATGCAGTGGGACGTACCTTGTTTCCTATGTACGCTGGCCGACCCAATCCCATATGTATTCGCCTTAGATTAGTCCCCGTAGAAAAGAGAAAACGATTATTTGTGTTACCTCCTAACTCTCTATAACAATCTATGATAAATAACATCAGGTTATATCATCTCTCTCTCTCTCTCTCTCTCTCTCTCTCTCTCTCTCTCTCTCTCTCTCTCTCTCTCTCTCTCTCTCTCACACACACACACACACACACACACACACCTGAAACAATAGCTGACACTTGGCAAAATGGTTCACAGGCAGTTCGAAGTTGGACCTACAACCAAATAATTACTAGAGGCCTGTTGAAACATCAAGGGCGGACCCCCCGCCCCCCTCCCCTTGCGAGCACGCATGCACACATTAACATATATAGAGAATCTCACCCGAGTGTCTTTTGATATCAAATATATCACCATGAGTTGATAAAGTTACAAATATCCGAGGCTTGCCGAGGATATTTGGACTTTTATCAACGAGTGGTTGATATATTGGATATCAGAGGACACGAGGGGAGAGATTATATTTATCATCAAAATCACCCTTCATTAGATTTCACTGAAAAACGTACATCTCTGACCACTGTTCTGCCATTAGATTTGTAGTACAGCGATGTCATAGCACGTGACGCCATCATGCTCATGACGTCATAGCATTGTCGGGGTATTGTTCAAAATCTACTGTTAAAACGATATCTCCTAGGAGATATAGAGAATACTAAACGATGTCCAGTGTAATACCATATTTATGAAACGAGTGAATGGTTTTAGTGGGGCGGTTAAGGCCAGGATTTTGTCAAAATTGTGCACTTTGTGTTAAAAGCACCAAACTTGGCACACTGATACATTGAACAATTCTAAACATTTCTGGATATGGATCCACCTCAGTAGTGCCCCCTGGTGGCCGAAAATCCAAGATGGCCGCCAGTTTGACTGAAATCTCTAACTATGTCAGCCCATGCTCAACATATCATAATTATCTTGTCATATTCAGTATTTTATTAAGGAATTGTCTTCATAGTGATGTATGTAATTTACATCTAGCATGTAGCGCCCCCTGGTGATGACAAAATTCCAAGATGGCCGCCAAATTTAGATTTCTATAGAATGTTTTAAATGTTTGTACACAATGTCAGTATTATTTGTTCAGATCAGTTTAATTTAGGATTTAAAAAATTCCTTGTTACTGAATGTTCTAGCTATTAATACCAAAATGATTTTCCTTGTACATTTAAAGTATTACTTTTTGTTATTTATAAAATAATTAACACATGATTAACATGATGAATACAGTATTGATCAACGATATTATGTTCCACAATGTTAATTGTTTTATAGCTATGGATTTTAAAATATATTCTGTTAATACACATATGTGTATGGCCTTTTTAAATGAGATCAGCACTTTTGCAAGTAGTATTGGAATTGTCTCCTTTGAACAATCTAAGATGGCTGCTTGTAGCAGTCGATGCATTTTGGAGAGCGTTCTTGTGATGGATATTTCATTAATGAGGCACCGTAAGGTTGAATGGGAGGGAACATCAAACAGAGTTCAACTGATGGAAGAAATAGGAAGATCATTGTCAAGCTGCCGTTCGTCTATACCAGTGTACCCCCATTATGTTTTACCAAGACGGATCATTATGAGCCGCCTTTGAAATGACCTTTTACTTAAGATGAACATTGTGTTAACACAATACTTGATTATGAGAACTAGGTAATAATGATGTTTTTCTCTCATGGGCAGCATACAATGCACTAACAAACCCTCCAACAACAACAGCGCTTATGCCACTGTTTTTAGAATGTGCACACTCTGTTGCTACGATACAACATTCAGTGAATGTGGCAAAGAAAGCTGTTGAGCAGTTACACTTAGGTCATCAATCCAGTGGAATTTTCCGGAATCATATGGTGATGCCAGTTTCCTTATATCAAGTTTGGTGGATTGGAGATTGAAATAGCTGCGTTGAGGATCCTTGGATTTGACGGACAACTGCAATTTGCGTAGCTGGGTTTGCTGATTCCTTCATCAAGTGTACCCACCTTGCTAGAACAAGACATGTCCATCAGATCATATCCGCTACACTCTTCCTACTACCACAGGCATATGCTCACTATCAGGAAACAGAACCAAACAAAGAAAACCTTTTACTTTTAGAAGTTGGTGTGATGCAAAGTCAGCTTCTCAATCCTAGTCTCAGTATTGGTCCTTTGTTCCTTTGTTCCTGGTGGGTGCAATTCGAAAAGCAGATTCCCCAAAGTATGTAGCATCACTTGTCAGAGTAATACCATGGGTCTTTATGTTAGATCATGTC